AATTCCGAGGACCATAAACGGCCCAAGGGCCACGAAATGCTTCGGTGACCCTAGTCACATAACCCGGCATTTATTACGAAAGATTTTGGAAATCCATCGAGCACTAAGGGCATCGTATTCATGGCGTAGGCTAACACAGTGGTCGCCCTGGACTGTGCGAGAGGCATCCATTAACTAAGCTCGTAATCCTTTCAGTTAAGTTAGCACATGGTGCGACTGACCATCGTCTATCGTTCTCTCACAAAGATCCTCCTGTCTTGCGTCCAATCTTACTCTCTTTGTCTCTTTCGACGTCTTTGTAGATACGCGCGATACAATCATTGTCAGTAACTCTCTTGTAATTCTATTGTTTTTCATGGGTTAGATTCTGCGAACTGTTCTATTTATTTAAATCAATTCCTTTTCGACTATTCCAAAAATAAATCATAAAAAAAGTGAATTTTGCAAAAATTTGATCTTTACGAGTACTGATAGTCGTCAGCTGCTTCACATCATTCCTTATATCTGACAAGAATGAGAATCCCGGATAAAGGAGAAAATTGTTTAACAGACTCTCAATTTCTCTGTGGATTAGTAAGATAAATTAGATCTGTTTGACAATATAAGATTTAAAAAAAACTGTCGTGTATTGTTTTAATTTAATCTCTCCAAGCAGTAGAAATATATATTTAAATACATATTTTCCACAAAATAACGCATTTATCGTGTTTTTTGTGCAAAATATGTATCACATTTGTCGATCTAATTATAAATAGTTCTTAACACAAATTTGCGCGTCATGTATCTTAATATAATTAATATTTCACTAGTATACTGGCAACGTGATGCTGGAACAAGGCTTAACGACTGCCTGTACTCTTAATGATGAAGTGCAGTGTCACATTCTCGTAGTAAGTAAGTAAGCTCACGATAGGTAAGATGATCCGCTTTACTATCAGATGAGAAATTATTTGCGAGAATATCCCTCATATACGTATGTAGTCAATTTAAAACAGAAAACTGGAAAGCCAATTTCGGAGACGTGAAAATATTTTAATTGTTTATCATGGTAATCTCATTAACAATTCAAAAATGTATTCATCACTTTACATTACAACCGGTATTAAAAGCTTTGACACCGCTTGTCTATATTCATCGCTTGAATTAATCATCGTACAATTTATTAAGAGAAATATGTTGAAGTCACCTGACGTCCTTAATTTTGCACTATCAATTAAAAAATAATTGCCATGAATTACGTAGAGGCATCATTATAACACCACTTTAGATCAAGGGGTAAAGGGCCGAACGCCCCTCATGTCAACTCGGTGCAACAAGAATTTGCATAACATTTTGAAATTAATCGACTTTCCTGCTAATTTTCAATACCGGATCATAAACCAATATCACCTTTTTGTTGCTCACAGTATTATCTAATATCGATAATAATCATCTCATCATTTACGAACAATTTGTTACATCGATAAAATTTCATCATCGTCTTGCCATTATCTACCGCACATACATTACTATAGTTACTAACTACAAACTCCAGCACGGCTGTTAAATCATTATAGTGCGCAATATTCGATAATGAAAGTCGATGAGAACTTAGTCAACAAAGTAAAATTATCTATTTATATACGCGTATTGTTATACTATTTATATACTCTGATCTAACTATTTTGCCTACGTGTGCTTGTCCCATTTATTTAAATCTATTTTATTTCGATCAAACGAAAATATGTTTGCTTTATAACTTTTCACATTTTAGCTCATTCTCATGTTTAATGACGAAAGCCAATTGCGTCATAAAGCATTTAACTGCCAACTTGTACGATCCCTGTGGTATTAGGTACAATTTTCTTCGCATTATACCTAATTGACCGGCTGATGTCAGTGCGTCCCGTCTCTTTCGTCGTGTATCGATCTTGGAATTATAGGGCGATTATACGGTGCACCCATACTGCTAGCACGATTTAGTACTGCTCTTCGTTTGTTGGTTTTGACGGCGGAGCCAAATTGCTGACTACGAGTCAACGAACATCGTTTCAGCTCGATAAATAATGCATGGTAGTCGCGGTCGTTTGACAATTGAATATTTCTCTTATCGGACTAATCGAAATAATCGCCGCGCGCGCTTAAAACTTTCAAGAAAATGATTCTATAAATAATGATTTGGAGAGACATTTATGACAAACGACATAATAACTATACCGCATCGAATACATTTAGAATTTATAGACAAATTTGTCTATTTTTGTTTTTTACTTATCAATTATTGTAAAGGATTCTAAAAGACGCTCTAAATAATTCAATTGATTGATGAATAAAAATCGATGATACATCTGCCTTTTATTTTACACATATACACAACTTCTATCAGTGTCTATTAGTGTTGGAGTCGCGTGCTTATGAACGATTTATCATTAACTCCTGAGACAAGAGAGAAAAAGCACAAAGAATATATTTGAGGGACAAATACCCTTCATATACATAGCTTATATAAACTTAATTAATGAAGTGCGCGTCTATGGTACTATATTAAGTAATAATTTTAATATAAAAGATTGATGCGAAAAACTATAAAAAGTTTATCGGTAATATAATATCATTCTTCGTGACTTTGCCTTTGTGCAATTTCAGAAATCCGAAGGTCTATAAAGTGGAAGGAACTAAAAATAACTTGGATCATATAAAAGCCTAGTCCCCCGCCGCAGTAATAATGCAATCCGGCATGCTATCGCGACGCATTATTGATCGAGGAATGTATCGAAGAAAATCGTGAGTCGCTGTTTTCACTTCTTTTTTAGTGAGGTACGTAATTAAAAGTTACGCTCTACCCATGTTGCGTGCTAAGATTTTGAAAAGAGGTGTGACAAAGTAACTTTATTTTACGCTTATTCATTCATTCCTGATTACATTATGCGTATTTGCATGCGTGCAATATCACTGGTAAAAACCTAATTAATCGGATAAGAATATTCGCGTGAAGCTTGTCCGACATGAAAACTGATCGTAACGCCACGATTGGACGTGCAAGTTGTGTTGAAAGTCGTCGAAAAGTAAAACGTACGGTAAACAAGATCGCAAACCGAAGCATCGCAATTGCAGCATATCCGTGTATATCTACATCTATTTTAATCGGCCTATGCCGCACCGCGAATCAAACATAGGCCACGGATATTGCAAGGCTGTTTCGGCATCTCGCATGGATACGAAATGCTAGCGGACGGCAATCGGCAGATGAAACTGCAGAGTGCGCAATCCGCTATATTCTTGTCGATATATTCTTCATAACGACCGGGAATCAAAAGGATAACATGCTCCATATCGGTACAGATGACCTCGCTAAAAAAAAAATGGATGGACTGCAAAATCAAGGCGCTCAAATTAGACTTTACTTACACACACATATATATAAAATGTGTGTGTGTGTGTGTGTGTGTGTGTGTGTGTGTGCATACTTTAAAAGTATACTTATAGATATATTTACGATTTAAAAATTATTACAAATTTTTATACATATTTTCATAAATTATTTCAATTTCTGAAGAACTGGGTAACTTAAATTCTCGAATAAAAATGCTTTACGTACTTAAAAATTAGATATAAAAGAATTAAATATAGAGAGTAAGAAAATTACGTAGAAAAATGAAATTTGAATAAATATCATAAAGAAAGTTTGAACAAGAGAGAGAGAGAGAGAAATGAAATATTATAACATACTTAATTCATAATTATATATCATGTTCTGTAGCAATATAAATAATTCTATTTATGCTTTACAAGTAACCGACGTTTGTCGTTGACAACCGTGGCAATATTGAATTCGTCCTTGATAAACAATTATCGTCACCATCGTATATTGATTGACAATCGCGACAAACGAACTCTGGCATTAGCGAACCATTCAACACCATGCATATTTGGTCAACCGATTACCGTATTTTTCTGGAGCGCCCTTGAAATAAAATAAAACGGTTGTAAGTAAAAACTTTTTATCACACAATGCAAATATATTTTGTAATCTTAAATGATAAATGTTTTGCAAAAATAACATGTATATAAACTGATATTAATTAGATTGAATCAGTGATGATATTTAACCAATATTACAATATATAATATATACTAAAATATTATATCTCCAATAATTTATAAATAAATGTCGGCGAATAAAATTTAAAACATTTATGTAATAGTGTTGTTTATATATATTTTTATAATAAATATTAATATAAATATATATGAAATATATAAAATTCACAATATACATCAAGATTTCGCACAATTATTTGCATAAATTTTCAAACAGTTTAGTAAACGGAAAAAGGTAATTTACATATATTTTCTTAATACATAAATAAATGTATAATCATATATAAATAAATGCATAAATAAATTTCTTTTCAGTTAGATAACCGCAGGAAAAACAATGGAAAAAGCAATTTACTTCGCAAATATATCCTCGCAATGTTTCGAAAATAGCATGATAATACTGAATAATTGCAAAGCAAAGAAATAATAATTCCGTGAAATAGAGAATACAGGCACGATACAGGCGGGATTATCATTCATCGTTATCTGGATCATTATGAGAGAACAAGTCGGAATCACGATAAAAGAAAACCATGAATATTTTCTCGTATCGAAACGCTTCGAACGAGTGGTTACTGCGCGTATTCGGTCAGCCACGCGGCCGAGCCACTTACGCAGCTGTTACCTTTGTCACTTTTTGTGGCCAGTAGGGCCAGCTCGGTCGGACTTTATCCTAGCGCTTACTACTCGGAGTAGTTACTGGACGTAAGCGTCAGCCCGTTAGCTTTAGCGTGCGATACACACATAGGCTGACTGTTGGTCGCCCTCCTTCTCTCTTTCTTCCCTGTTGATCTTCCCGTTCTTCGATTCACCTGCTCTCACGCGAAGCGTCCGTCCCTACTACGTTCCACAGGGCGCCTCCCCTCTCCTCCCGCCCGTATTCCTTCCCCCTCCACCGAAATCGATGCTACTCGCGGATCGCGAGTTCAGTCTGCGACTGGCAACCGCGCGTATAACATCGTTTCTTCCTTTTCCCTCTCTCTCGTTCTTTTACGCCTCTTTGCTCCTCGCATGTTGATATCGCGCGAGTTTCCAAGAACGCCGAGGGAGAAGAAGCGAGAATCCCAATCGATGACGCGCGTCCGGTGTCGCTTAACTTAACCGATTAGGACGGTTTCGAGAAGAGGAAGAGAAGACAAGGTGGATATAATCGTAAGTTGAGAGCCGACGTGTCGACGATGAATTCCTGCGATCAGATGTTTCGCTGTTGCATCTTTCTGGAGCGATCTTGAGGCGGTGAATGTGCAAGGAATAACAACGCGCTCCGCTTCTACGCCGGCAGAATTGCTGATTCGGTGAGTAAGAATTAATAATGCCTCTTGAAATTTCAATGCGCCTAATGCGTATTCGTTCGATATTTTCAAAACAACGTCGTGAATATTACGCGACTCGATACACAAAAGTAAATAAAATTGCGGTCAAGGACAATTGATACCGACACGAGTGTTTTATCGCGTACAAAGGGTCAGTTCTCTAACAAAATTATACTTCGACTTTGTATTTTGTCCTGTAAACTATCGGAAAACTTTGTTTATGGTACGTACAGATTTATACGTGCTTTGATTCTCATTCTATCTCTTAACCTTTCTCTCTCTCTCTCTCTCTTTTTCTTTCTTTTCAATAAAATAAGTTCCGTTATGTAATCTTAAACAAAAACTCGCCAAATAAATATATTGCACGCTTATATAAATAGAGAGGAAGGTTAAAATAATAATTATTAATGGGAGGAAAAAGATTGGGATATCGTTTGTATGAAGCGAAATCCGTCGCAAGTAGTCGAATATGCGATTGGTCAGCCCCGTTGGCTTTACCGTGGACATCTCAGTGACAGTTTCCATTAGAGCGAACCGTAATACTCCGACAAGTCTGTCCATGGTGGTTTCTCTCGCGCGTTCTATCGCAAGAAATTTCATTCCTCTGCCACCCCCGACATCTCTCTTTCTCTCTTTTCATTTTCTCCCCCTCCCCCTCTCTCTCTCTCTCTCTCTTTCTTCTTAATCGCAATCTCTGCACGACGATGCGTTCTCCACGAATACGGTCATACGTGCACGGACATACGCGACCGGCCGGAACTTTGTTAATTAATTGCTTCGGAAATATAATCCACGTCGAGTGTAACTAATCAGCGAGAAACTCGGTCGGACGTTGACGGGCATGTTTGCTGCACCTATCACGTAGCGGGATGGAAATGTAATTTGCCAGGATAGAGTTAGCCCCGTTGAATGCCGCGGCCAACCTTCAGCCACCCCTCCCCTCCACCTCCTCACCCTCTCCTTCCTCTCTCTCTTCGATACCAGTCCCGCTTCGAGCCAGACCCCTCGTGCCCAGCGTGAGCCGCTCATTGATCGCTATTCTGGATTTCGCATGTAAGGATCCAACGGAGCAATCTGTTGTGGAAATAATGGTTCTGCGATGCACGCATTCGCCTATCAGTCTGTATTTCGATCCGAGGGTTGCGCGTATCGGTTAGCAAAGTTGCGATGCGTTGTATGCTTCGTGCTTCGCGTCGACCTGACAATGTGCGTTTCAAAAATCACAATTTCTTTGCGAGATATTAAACGGCTTACGTAGACAGGTTGTTTTAGACCTGATGAACCGTCTTTCAACTCTGATTCTTCAACTAATTTAAGAACCGATTTTTTCTTAATCGAAATAAACGTCATTATTTATATTATAGACTTCAGCAATTTCAATATATTAAATTATATATTATATAATAATTTATAAAGAATTTATAATAATTATATATTATATAATAATTATAAATTCAATATATTAAATTATATAAATATATTAAATATTTTTCGGCAAATAAAATTAGAAATCTGTCTAAAAAAAGTTTGCTTGAAGTTTAATATCAAGTAAAATTGATACAAAATTTACTTTAAAATAAAGTTTACTTCTCAAAAAAACCTTTATTTTCACACACAATTGCTTCTAACTAAAAACTATCCATCTTTTTCTTAAAAAATAATTTAAATTATTAAAATAAATAAAAGATATATGCAGAGAGTTTTGAATTTTAAGTTATATATTCCATACATATCTATAATATATTATTATGATTCAGGACATAAAATGATATGCTAATTAATAAAAACATAATTAAGATTTGACATATATTTGGTCCAACAGTGTGAATCATGATTATATTATAAATCTCAAAATACTTAATTAAAGTTTATTTATAACATCGAGAATTTAATGATATATCATCATGCAAAGAGATAATTAAAATTGCCAACTGTTGCGGATCTGTTACAATTCTCATAAATGCAACGGATATACGTGTTAATATACATTTAAAATTCAACAGCACGCGTATTAATTACGCACATAATTAGCTCTCTTATGAAGATTCTTTCGCTTCCCAGCGGGATCATTTCCATGTTTCAATCAATATTAATTCAGACCGAGCTTCATCAACTTGGCTAATGAAATCAACCTTTTTAATGTCGCGAAATATAAATTCAGGAAAGTTTTTCAACAAAGCAAATCTTGAGATATCGCAATTTATTTTAAAAAGAGGAAAATACATGTATCTAGACGAATAAATGTAAACAGAAAATAACTAGCATTGAGCGATGAGAAGTAATCGGACGTGCGTATGGAATAACCGATGGAGAGAGACACGGGGGGGAATTCGGAGTTTCGAGGATTACATGGAAACGGTTTCAGTGTCGGATATGTCGACGAATTCGCCGGATGGTTAAGCCAGCAGTTACGATTAAAAGCCGCGGACTTCCATCGTATCATTCACGTGCACATATACATGTATAGCGAGTCCACTCGTATAAATTATTTAACACCAAAATATCACGAAGAAATTACTAACAAAAGTTACGAGAGAGACTACATGTGCAAATTTATTCCATATAATGACAGATAAAAATATCGCACGCACGTATATATACTTATTGTTCTTTAGTTTCGATGGTATCTAGGTGTAAGTAAACCAAGAAGCGTGAACGATCAAGATGTCGCGTTTGCGTCGCGAAGAATAAAAGGCACTTGCGAAACAGGTGGACTTGAACACGATATTAGATTGCGACATTTGTACACTCGTGACTGTACATATGTCTGGCCTCAGTATGCGGTATGCGCTATGGCTGTGCGGTACCGTAATACAAATAGGGGTTGCTCCCGGGTGCGACGCCTGTACGGCGTAGCTTCACGCATCGCTTACTCATTGCTGAACATCCCCGGTCTCGTAGTTGGTGCCGCTCTTGGGACACGCGAAATTTACTTTAGCCGTGAGCGAAACTTTAAAGCGGCGTTTCGAGGACACCGTCGTCTACCGCGGCAAATAGCGTTTCAATCCGTGTCACGGAGTCAGCAACGTAGTCCTAGGTATTTACGTGAACGGCGGTATACATCGATCGTTTAATGCCAATGTCACGAAATGCACAAAGTTTCAAGCTTGTTTCGAATATAATTTAATGTCATGTATAGTCGCGAATTGGTCGACGGTCCATTTTGCGAGTTGGAAAGCAATCTTGTTGAAAGGGTCGTGTGTAATAATGTTAACGACCTACATTTTTTAAAATCTTTCACTTACGTGGAATAAAATGGCATTGTTGTACGATTAAACGATCGATTATTATACGTTAGTTGGTATTTTTTTAAATATATAGATGCATCGCATTTGGGACTGATTGCATAGTTTTATATATCGAGTTTTAAACTGAATTTATTTAACATGTAACTGTCAGAGTTGCGTTATACGAGGATACAACGATAACATAATGCCCCGTACAGCAGAATTGCTTTAAAAAACTGGGTCATGTGTTGCTACACGTTTATTCATATTTTCCTGCATAAATACATCTCGCATATGAGAAAACGTGCAAAATTGTTTTTTTTTTTGGCTATACAACAAACATTTCCGCTTTTTTTTCGCGAATATATCACATAGATATCATTTTGTGAAGAAAATGCAATTCGGCAATTATACAGCATGCTGTATGTTTTATCGCGTATATTACGCATTTTATCGATACAACCGCACTCTGCCAATTATTCGGATATCGTTTGCTATAAACATTAATCGAAAAATTAAAAGAGATGCAATAAGTCGAAAATATAATATTATAATTGTTTCATTATCATGCACAGAGTTTCATCCGCGATATATACTTTTTTCTTTTTTCAATTAATTTGCAATTATGAAAATGTTTGCAAACGTGCATGTTTGCAAGCCAAATAAGATTAGCTTTTGTTGTATTTTCCTTCGAACATCATTGACGGATTGAAAAAGCAAAGTTACCTAGTAATTTCAGGCATTTAAATGTATTGTGATTACGACTCGATATACAGAGTTTATCTCTCTATTATTTAATTATATTTTCGAAGTGTTTGCGCACACATGAAGAAAATTTGCGCACGTGCCAATTCGGTTTTGCAGAAATAACGCCATCTGTTGCGTCCATCGATCGACAATGCCTGGTGATCATTACTGACAAGGCACGTGGAGTTTATTGTCCTCGTAAATAAAATTCAATATCGACAAGATACGGCGACGGCATTTTGTTAGTCGGCTGCAATCGATAGGGCAAATAAATTTTGTCGAATTCCATTCGCCGTCATTTTATTCGCATAATTGCCGAGCGCCTTTATTTTTGCCGAAACAACAATAAACAAGAAAGGTCCGCAAAAGCTCACGATTGTGTAAATAACTGCGTGAATAAATACTGACGGCCGTGACTCGTATACTCTGCCAGTCTGACAAACACGGTCCCTAACTACTGCGATAACTAGCGCAGTTCATTTCGTTTGAGCGTAAATATCCAGGCATTGTGCTTACTAACATAATACGCGGAACACATTGTATCCTATCCCTAATTATTAATATTGCCTTTTAATACATCGACCACCATTAATTATTATTTTCATTACACAGAAGTTCATATAAGTATTATTGACAGATTATATTATTAATAGGGATATACTCTTAATCTCTTAATCTCTTACGACTTAATCTCTTGTTGAATTAATGTCTTAAATCAAGTTAAACATTTAAATTATTAATAAATGTAATAGGAGAATAGGAAAAAAGAAAAGAGAGAGAAAGAGAGAGAAAAACAGTAATCTAAATATTATATTATTTAGAAAAAAATTAGTTTATATTTAATCATGATCGCTAAAAAGTTTCTCCAATTACGAAACAACTAGGAAAAATTTTAATTCCGTTGTTGTTTAAAAAAACATAATTGTTTGAGTTATTACGCCCATTAAAACTGCGATTCTATTTAAGTATAAGGCATGAAAAAGCTAAATATAATACCTATTATACCTA